TCCAGATCAAGTCCATAAATCCAATATTAACCCATATATCCGATACCAGTCTATAAATTCCTGTTAGAGTCCTACAACACATGCAATGATGCGAATGCAGGAAGACCACAGAACAATGGGTGGAAAGTTTTGTGGATCCAGTGGCAGTGGGAGCATCTCCAGGCCTCTGGCTGCCATCAGCATGGCTCCATGTGGCTTGTCATCAGGAAGGTGAAAGAGAGAGAGTGTGTTCCATCTCCACAGAGGAAGACAAGCGTTCCCAGAATCCTCAGGAGAAAGCCATGCCCACAGACACATCAGTGGCTATGACCTGATTGACAGGTTAGACTCCACATCTTCACTCAAGTTGACCAATTATGTAACCGCCACAACTTCCCTTGTTTTTTCTTCACTTCTTCCACGTTGTCAAATAGCCGTCCTTTCATGTGCCCCTTTATTCATGGAAACAAAAAGAACTCGCAAGGAGCTGGGTCAGGTGACAGGTGAGTGGGGCAAAAGAGGCATTCTGTTTTTTGCCAAAAACTGGTACACCTGAGATGGCTGCATGAGCAGGTGCAATGTGGAGGTGGCAAGACCAATCCCCAGTGTGCCGCAAATCAGGCTGTGTTTTTGTCACACACTGTTTTGCAGAACCTCTAAATAGAAAGCTTTATGAACAGTTTGACCTGATAACTTCCCCATCTCTTCAATGGTCCTTCATCGGTCTTCAAGCACAAGTGCATGAATTTTGTTGACATTTTTGTCTGTTCAGGAAGTTGATAGATGCCTGGGAGAAGGGGAGGTTGGGGAAAAGGACGTGGTGTTAACAAACCCAGGGACAAGGAAACAAGTGATCCAAACTGGTGGTGAGGTGGGTGTGGGAGGCCTGGTAGGGCATGATTAAGGGTAATGTAACCAAGAGGAATTGCTGAAACCCTGGTGGGAACTGAGCATGATAGTGGGACAGGAGGAAAGTCAAGGGAAGTAGAGCAAAGAGCTGGGAGGCAAAGGGCATTTATAGAGGTCTAGATAAAGACATGTACATATGCAAATATATTTATATATGAGGAAATAGATCTGTGTGCATATATTTATAGGTTTAGTATTAAGGTAGCAGAAGGACACTGGGCCTCCACTCAAGTACTCCCTCAATGCAAGAATACGTTCTTCTATTAAATTGGCATTCTATGATGCTCACCTTCCCAACACAACCGCTGAAGGCAAAGCGGGTGAATAAGCAAATGTGGTGAAGAAAGCTGATGGTGCCCAGCTATCAAAAGATATAGCATCTGGGGTCTTAAAAGCTTGAAGGTAAACAAGCGACCATCTAGCTCAGAAGCAACAAAGCCCACATAGAAGAACACATCAGCCTGTGTGATCACGAGGTGCCAAAGGGATCAGTTATCAGGCATCAAAGAACAAAAAATTATATCACTGTGTGCTCACCTTCCTGATACGATCACTGAAGACAAACGGGTGCATAAGCAAATGTGGCGAAGAAAGCTGATGGTGCCCGGCTATCAAAAGATAGCTTCTATGAGCCCCTAATGAAACGATTTAAAAAATCATAAAACAGGTGAAAAAAATATATAGCATCTGGGGTATTAAAGGCTTGAAGGTAAACAGGAAGTTGAAAGATGTCCTTAGAACTAGGTTTGACATTTCACCTTTTTGAAACAAGAAAATCACTCGTACACTTGAGTTTTTCCCATAGTGCTGTTCTTGCAAGCTGTGCTCAACATCACCACTGTTTCTGCAGCACTTCTGAGCAGGAAACAAAATTTCATAGCTGCATGCTGTTCTCTTTAATAGGCCAACACAAAAAAACGAGGTTTGAGCCAAATTGCTTTTACAAAAAAATTCACTGTGACCAAAGACAACCTTCCCAGGTGACACCACTGGGAGCACAAACTCAGTGATCACCTAGAGGGGAAAATGCATGCCACATTGTGGGAAAAGTTGGGGATATTATGCTGAGTGGTTAGCCAAACACAAAAGGTCAAGTACAACATGAGTCCATTGAGATAAGTTCAAACTGCAGAACATGCATAAGGGAAAATACACACAACACACATTGCCTGGGCTGTGGACCAGATATTCTGACATGAGCCAGACTAAACCCAATGATTCATATGCCATCAAAAACAGATGCAGGTAGCACCTGTGCTGAAAGGCCCACAGAGGGGAGGGGGAAGAAAAATGACAGCAACAGGGTGTCAGGGACCTAACCAATCCAAGGGGAGGTGATTGTTTATATCTCCACAAGAAAGGGAAAGCAAGATTAGACCTCAATCCAGTGTGCCAATCTTTGAGGGCGATGTTCCTGCTCGGAGAAGCTCATTCCCAGAGGTGACTGCAGGGCTGGCCTCAGTTCAAGGAGCGATGTCCACTCCCTAGATGACAGTGCTGCAGAGGGCAGCTCTGAAGATGTAATTCAGGGAGAGCAGCTGGTCTGAACCAGCTGCATGGGGGCAAACCAAGAGGAAAACGGAACAGACCAGTAACGGGAGTGAAGGCACGAAGTCCCTGAGAAATCCCAACTGTAGACTTCTGACACTTGAGGGGCAGCACTTGGCACCCCACCTGAACTGGTGGTGGGTTACTCACATGGGAGCCACACTTAAAGTCTAAAGGAATAATGGGGGGTAGGGGGGAGGCACTAGCCTGCCTCATACCTGACAGTAGGACTAGCAATGAGGACATTTAGGATGCTCACCTTTCGGACACAAACGCTGCTGAAGACAAAAAGGTTGTATGAGTTGTTAGGTAAATGGGACCTGGGATATGCAGCTGTCTGGAAGAAAGAGGGACAGGGCTGATGGGACATAGTATATCCTTCTATTTAACAGAGATTAATCTGCTCTATGCCAAGATCCCCGTTAGTCTTGTATGTTTAGTTATTCTTTTTGATCTACAAGAGATGCAGGGTTAGCAATCTTATGGAGGCGGCGATTGGGCTGACAGTTCCTGGGGCCACGGGAGGGGTGGGGTAAGTGAGGGGAAGCCAACAGTGAAACACTGTGTTCTAAAATTGATGAGAAAGATAAGCTTTTCTAGTCAAGTTTAATCAATTGAATTGTATCTGAAAGGAGTTACTGGGAGGTGAACAACAGGTAAAAATAATAGTGGGGTAGAAGGAAAGAAAAAATGTGTGTATTTATGTATGTAAATATAGGTAAATGTAACAAGGAAGCAGATGGACTGTGGGCCTCTACTTAAATCTTACCTCAGTTTAAGAATTGTTTGTTCTAATAATGCAGCACTGTACACCTTCCTGTCACGATTGAAGACAAAAGGGGTGCATAAGCAAATGTGGTGAAGAAAGCTGATGGTGCCCAGCTATTAAAAGGTATAGTGCCTGGGGTCTTAAAGGCTTATAGTTAAACAAGCAGCTCTCTAGCAAGGAAGCAACAAAGTCCAGATGGAAGAAGCACACCAGCCTGTATGATCATGAAGTGTCAACAGGAATAGGTATCAGAAGTTTAAAAACAAGCAACCAAATTGATGTGAAGGGCCATGTATTAGAGACCCCAAACCCACTTGTAAGATAATTGGACAGTCCCTCTCAGAAGGGTCACGGGGAAGGGATGAAAAATCCCGGGTGCCCACTACCATGACTCAAATTCGATCTTGCAAGTCTGGCTAGACCAGAGGATGTACACTGGTACAGATAGGAACTGAAAATACAGGGAATCCAGGACGGATGAGCCCTATAGGACCAGTGGTGTGAGTGGCAAACAGGGAGGGTAAAGGGAGAATGGGTAAGAAAGAGGGAAACGATTATACTGAACTGTGTGTGACCTCCTCCCTGGGGGACAGACAACCGAAAAGTGGGTGAAGGCAGACGTCAGACAGGGCAAGATATGACAAAATACCCATTTATAAACTATCAAGGGCTCATGAGGGAGTGGGGAGCGGGGAGGGAGGGGAAAATGAGGACCTAATGTCAGGGATTTAGTGGAGAGAAAATGTTTTGAGAAACGATGTACAAATGCGCTTTACACAATTGATGTGTGTATGGATTGGGATAACAGTTGTATGAGCCCCTAATAAAATGTTAAAAAAAGAAAAATCCCGGGTGCAGTATACTACATAATTATTCTCTAGTTAATAATTCCTATGGTTTTTGTTTTACTTCATTAATCATGTTAGATTTGTGAATGTCCACTTGTATATTTAAGATCTTCTGGTACATGAAATCCAAGATAGATAGCCCTTTAGAAATAGTAACAGGAGTAATGGTTCCCTGGGGGTACAAGAAGAGAGGCTGGGGGGAGGCATAGCGAGCTGATAATATTGATGACTGCAAAACCCCACCCAATAGGATCAAACAACAAAAACAGAAAAGAAAAAGAGCATTGCCTCATTGAAGGTGATGGCATTTCTGTTGGTACATAGGTGGGAGGAGCAACCTCTCACCAAGAAAAAATTCTCAACAATATTTATATTGAACCAGGGGAAGAATATGCCTGTAACAAAAGTACTGCTTTGGACTCCTTTTTTTAAATAATCTGATGAAATCTATAGATTCAATCATAGGGCAATAAATACTTAATCTTGGGAAAATAGATACACAAGCCTCTCCAAAGGCACTGCACAGAGGTCCTGCCCAGCAGTTTGTCTAGCCCAAAAACATTGTTTGGAAATTCCTATTATTTATATGTTACACATGCAGAAATCCTTATGCACTTTCTACAGAACCACAAAGGTAGTAGTTGCTGTTTTCTTCTCAAAGCCTAGGAAGTTGGTTATTTCCGTGAAAATTTTTTTCAAGACACTTTCTATCAACTTTCTGAAAAGGATTTCATTAGATGGTCATTTTGTGAGATAATGCATAGAGAACATTAAGAAAATGGTAGGAGAGAAGAGCAAAAGAAGAGAATGTTTGAAATAACACACATGATGGGAGTACAGGAGACTGACTAGGTATGGAATGGTACTTGATAATTGATGAGAACCTTTTGAAAATAATTAAATACATAAAAAATAGTTATCACTTTGAGTTCAAAAATACTCTTGTATGAAGGTGTATAATTGGCATATTTATAAACTGTGTGTATCCACTAAATTCACAGTGAACACAATCTATAGTACATTCACATTTGCATATTTACAAGGTATCTTCTGCAAAATAAATATAAAATATCAACATTTTACTTCAGTACATTTGTGATACAGTTTCAGTATGTTTGCAAAATAGTTTGAAACAAAGGCATTATTTTTCATTAACAACAACAAAAGAGAAGTCTCTCGAGCACAAATTTACTATTTTATGCAAAAAATACAAGTCTAAATATAAGCATTCCCATTCAGGCTTATTCAGTACAGATGTGTCTACATGTTGTTGAACTATAAAGTGTTAACTACCAAGGTTACAGTACTACTGATTGATAATTGGCCTTAAAATAGTAAATGCAATATATCTATTATTTTTCACATGTTAAAATGCTTAAAATTTTACATAATATTAATTCTGAAAATGTATGGTTTGCCATTCACTCAATACACTTTTGCGAAGGAAAAGCCAATCCTGTCCCTTACAACAACTTAAAAATTATTTGAGAGCCATACATATATTTTTATAAACAAACGAAAACACAGGTATCTGAGCCACATGTACGTACCCAGAGAGCTGCATATGGCTCACAAGCTGCCGATTTAACCAATGATTTCTTACTCAGAATTATTTTGAGATGTGGGAGTATCTATAGTTTTAGATGCTTCCAGAGAATAATGGTACACAGCCAGGTGTGGAAACCTAAACCCACTGCACCTTTCGGTTGCCCCAGATTCACTTTGGAAAAACTTTTAAAAATAACCTAATTTCCTGATTTGACTGAGATGATTCAGAGTGGTGTCCAGCCCTTTAATGTTTAAGCAAGTGTTTGAGAGCAACACTTGGCACTTTTAAATAAAATATTATCCTTAAATATACAGTTGTGATCAAGTGAATTGTTATGCCATAGTCCATCCATTAAAGAGACTCTTTCAGCAAATGATCTCAGCTTTTAAACACACTACTGTTTGATACTCAATTTAAATCTAATACTTTCCCTCATCATTAGCCTCCTATGTGATCAGAGGTAGTGATTCCAGCTTGCCAAAAATGTACTGTGGATTATAAAAGATATACATTCTAATCACATGCCTTTATAGGTTTTAAACATTCCATGTGTAATGGGGATTGGAAATCCACTGGTATGAAAATAATAATCAAACCACAAACTTGATTTTACACGTTTGTGATTCTACAACAAAATATCACATTTCCCTCACATGTTAAGTTCCTACATACAATAGTGGAGAAAACAAATGTAGCAAACACGAGAGACTGTGCTCCCTATTAAGTGCGTGGGATGCTCCGTAGCCTCCCAAACCTCCGCTACGTGCACAACCAACCTCGAACCCAGAAGCTCCTGAAGAACTCCCCAGCAGCAAGAGGGCGCACCCAGCTGGGAGCGTGTCTGCGGTCAGCTCCCGCTCTGCGATGCCTTTTTTGCCCACATCAACACACTTTTCTATCATGTTCTTCACAAAAGCTTATGCCGCCTCTTGGCTAACTAGTAGTCCTAACTTCCTGACCAAGCAATGAAGAGGCGATTACCAAAACACAGCATTGTATTGCCAGAAAGGCAAATCACTTCATAAGATAAGAAACTGACACTTTAAAATGTATACCTACTAAGCTAAAAACTGTACACTAATTTTCAACCGCTTACAGTCTAGATTATTTTAACAATCAGACCATTTCCCAGCATATAAATGATTCATGGTCAAAACAAAAACATTTTTAATTATGTTTTTATAAACATTACACAGAAATATCAAAACCAAGTAATATTATAGGCTTCCTACTGAGAAATAGCTGAAATAAAGCTAAGGACACAGTAATCCTGGGGAAAGGATTTCAAAACCTAACAACAGTCTCAGGCACGCCCTTATCTCCGATCACGCCCCGGTCTTCCTAACCCACGGACGAGACGGGAGAAGGACGGAAGTACATCAAGTGGCACCGACTTTTCACGTCCTTTTAGCGGGTTTGGCAGTTAGCTGTTTTTCTCTTTCAAATTCCTTCTCTCGCTGCTGTTCCTTGTCCAACTCTTCTTTCTGCCTTTTCTGCTGCAGCTTTAGTGCTCTTTTCTGTGTCAAAACACATAAAAATAAAGACATAAATAAAACTGAGCCAACAGTCAAGTGCTACACCTTATGGCCAAAGTTAAAAGCAATAGCAGTTCACTTTAAAGTAATCAGTACATATTAGTAAATTTAATACGTAACTTGTTAGGTCCTCTAAGGTCCTCTTGATTAAGGGGGGAAAAGTTACTCCAAACTCTCATTAGATGGGAATTATAACTACATAACCAGAGACTATGAGCCAATCAGCCCAGCTATTAGAAAGCCTGGAGTGAAATTCAATGAAAGACAGATCATAAGAGGAAATCGTGTGCCATGAACTAAGCATGTCATTACATATGGACACACACAAAAAGACACACAGAGCTCTGCTTCTATAACGAATGTGATAGAAGAATTTTTCAACTCACTTTTAACTTGGATGTCTTTTCATGAAGCATCAGCATTTCTTTTCTTATATTCACCAACTTAGTATGATAGTGTTTAGCTTCAGTGAACTTAAAATGAAAAAGGAAATGAATATTCAGTTAAAACACGCTGAAATATCAAAATAGATAAATAAGTCAGTAAATATGCTCATTATGCCTGTTGATCTTATTTTAAAAAAACCTTTCTCTATATTTTAATTCTAAAATTCAAATTTAATTTAAACCATTAGCAGAATTGCTAAAAACCCTAATGACAATTTGGTTCGGATTTTTCTTTTAAGTTACAACCTTAGCTATAAGAATGGATTTTGTGGCCATACTGAACTGTGAGCCCTAGTCTAAGATCAATCCGTTCTTATGATACAGCCCCACTCAATACTAAAAGGGATCACTGAAGACAAGGGTGCTATAGGGCAGTGTGGTAAAGAAATCACAGGGAACAGCATCTGGGGTCTGAAAAGCTTGTTTGAAACAAGAAGCCATCTCAGTGAGGTGACGGCTAAGCCCAGCCAGAAGAAGCACACCTATGCATGATCCAAGGATTATAAAAAGCAAAATCCAAGATCAGAGAAGGGACGTGTATAAATTCTGAGCACCACGTTTGCAGAGGGCTATGGATGATGGTAAAATCCCAAATTCTATTTGCAGAGACCCATGGGGATTAAGCCTTCATTGTATACCCTGCCTACAGATAGAGTACATCAGAAAGTGAGTTATTACAGATATAGTTTGGTTAAAATTTAACACCTTATCATTTGTTTTCCCTTTTAAACCATCCTTAGTTCTATTTTTGATTATTTTCTGCCTTCTTTTGGATTGAACAAAAATGTTACCAACATCATTGAGTTGTATAGAAATTGTTAAAAAAAATGTTAAATGAAAAGCTAGTATGTACAAACTTACTGAAAACAATTTAAATTGTAGTTTTTTAAAGTTACTGATGAGATAACTGTCATTTATATTATATTGCATACATACATTTTGCTTTAAAATCTGCAATATCACCCTAAAATTTCAGTAAAATCATCTAATAACACGACTAGTTCCATTCAAGAAAAGCACACTTCGATCCTTACAAGGAGAGATCGAGCCAATGTCCAAAGGGCAGTTTAAGGGAAGAGTCTCTGTCCATCAAGAAGAACCAAGCTGTGGCCAAAGACCTAGGGGACCTGTGGCCCACGCCAATCATACTCCTGGGGCTTTTGAAACCTGACCAGGCAGACAGTCTCTCTGAAGACACTCTCTTCCCAAGGAGCTCTAAGCGTGGACTCTACATGTCAGCTGGCCTCCATAGCCTAACGTGAAGCCACTTATCACGGGAACCCAAGAGGATGATCTAGAGGTCTAAGGAGGAAGGAGAGAAGCAAAACAAAGTCACCACAATCTCGGGTAAAGTAATGGAGAGAGAAGAAATGAGAAGCATCTCAGTAGAAAGATTAACAACCTCAATAAGGCTGCTTCGAGGACTAAGGTGAGCTGACCCAAGCCATGGTATTCTCAATCACTTCACATGCACATGAAGACGGGAAGTGAACACGGAAGACTGAAGAAGCAGTGAAGCGTCTGAGTGGTGGTGCCAGCAAAGAACACTGACAGTACCACGGCTGCCAAAAGGATACACAAGTCTGTCTGCAAGATGGAAGGCCAGAGTGCTTCCAGAGGCAACGATGGCAAGATGTGGTCTGACATACACGGGACACGTTGTCAGGAGAGACCGGGAGAAGGGCATCCTGCCTGGTAACGCAGAGGGGCCACAGGAGGAGGCAGGCCCTCCACTAGATGGAGGGAGGCAGTGACTTTAACATGGTTGCAGGCACAAGAACAACGGTGAGGACCGTGCAGGACTGGGCAGTGTTTTGTTCCATTGTACGCAAGGTCACAATGAGCTGAACTGACTCAATGGTACCTAACAACAACAACAACAACAACATGGCTGGAAGTAAAGCCATGGTTTGATGAACTCTAAAGATTAGAGACCCTCTTTATATACCTCTGGACCTTATATTCCTAGCTGACATCTAGACTACTCTTGGGCTGCGAGATGAAAGAAGAGAGAAACTTAGTTCTTGCACCCTCACAGTGAATAAACAATATGACATTCTGTTTGGTTCATCTATTCAAGGTTCATCCACTGGACAAATATGTATTCTGCTACAACAGGAGCTCAGTGGGGAAAACAAATGTAGGCTGGTGTAGCTTCATGTACCTCCTTCATAGGAAGTCAGATACTACTGAGTGGAAGAACTCACAGATACCACAGGCCTCTGTCCAATGCTAGAGAAAATGGGCTTTGCTTTTGCTTGGTATAAAACGAATACTCCCTTCAGACACATTTTCCCAATGAAAGGAGCCCTTGGGCTATACCAACAGTTAAGCAATCAACTGCTAGTGGAAATGTTGCTGATTTGAACGCACCCAGAGGTGCCTCAGAAGACAAGCCTGTGTCTGAAAGATCACAGCCCCAGAAACCCCGCGGAAAGTTCTACGCAGCAAACATGGGGTTGCCATGAGGCAGAACCAACCCAATAGCTAACAATAGCAGCCCAATGCCAGTCCTTTTGTAGAACAAACCATGCCCAGCGTGCAAGGGGTGGAGAAAGGGTGCCATGAGTTCTTTTCTTTTTAATGCTGTTTCTCAAAATAAAGTGTTATCATTTCCTTCTCACACTACATTATGGATGGCGCTTTAAGACATTACGCTGGGGAAGGAAATAAGTCATTCACAAAAGGACAAATATTACATGACCTCCATTATATGAAAAGACAAGAACAGACTAATATAGCGAGACCAAGAGAGGCGGGGAAACGGAGGGCCATTGTTTATGGAGCACTGACTTTTCTGGTTAATGGTGATGGAGAAATCATATTGCAGGTAGTGCTAACTGTTGCCAATAAGTTGTAAACACCTTTAAAAAGGTGACTCAGTAAAAGTGACAGAATAGATATATTGACAATGACCAAAAAAAAAAAGAAAAAAGCCGCTATTGAGGCTGCTAATGTACAACCAAACACTTCATGGGATTTAGTTCCTTGGTCTGGAAGGTTAGCGTCATGGTTTCAAGGGACATTCCACTTAAATGACCTAATAGGTTGTTGAGCATGTCTGTTCGTTTGATGCATAGCACTGGGTTCTTAAAAGCGTGCAAGCAGCTATTCAAAGCATAATGACTGGTCTCGAATTGCCTGGAACAACAGAGGAAGGAGCATCAGACAGAGGTGGAGGAAATAGAAATGTGGCTATTGGCTTCCATGAACAACTGCGTCCTTTGCCAAGAAAGTGGAAGGCATGTACCTGGCTACCATTACTGAATATTTTTATCCCAGTTGGTATTTAGGAATCTAGATCGAAAGGGGGCAGAACAGAATTTCATATTCTAATGAATAGACTTTCCAGAGATACATGTCCTGGAACTAATTCCCTGCCACATCTTTAAACGTCAAATCAAAACTATCCCCTTAAAACTAGTCATTTAGCCACAGTGTGGGAATTGCGCCTGATCTGATCCCGCCACG